TACCTTCCTGCCTACCTGGCCTGCACCCTGCCTACCTTCCTGCCTACCTGGCCTGCACCCTGCCTACCTTCCTGCCTACCTTTGCCTGCACCGTGCCTACCTGGCCTGCACCCTGCCTGACCTTCCTGCCTACCTGGCCTGCACCCTGCCTACCTTCCTGCCTACCTGGCGTGCACCCTGCCTACCTTCCTGCCTACCTGGCCTGCACATTGCCTACCTTCCTGCCTACCTGGCCTACACCGTGCCTACCTGGCCTGCACCCTGCCTGATCTTCCTGCCTACCTGGCGTGCACGCTGCCTGACCTTCCTTCCTACCTGGCTTGCACCCTACCTACCTTCCTGCTTACCTGGTCTGCACCCTGCTTACCTGGCCTGCACCCTACCTACCTTCCTGTCTACCTGGTCTGCACCCTGCCTACCTGGCCTGCACCCTGCCTACCTGGCCTGCACCCTACCTACCATCCTGCCTACCTGGCCTGCACCCTGCCTACCTTCCTGCCTACCTGGCCTGTACCCTGCCTACCTTCCTGCCTACCTTTGCCTGCACCGTGCCTACCTGGCCTGCACCCTGCCTGACCTTCCTGCCTACCTGGCCTGCACCCTGCCTACCTTCCTGCCTACCTGGCGTGCACCCTGCCTACCTTCCTGCCTACCTGGCCTGCACCCTGCCTACCTTCCTGCCTACCTGGCCTACACTGTGCCTACCTGGCCTGCACCCTGCCTGACCTTCCTGCCTACCTGGCCTGCACGCTGCCTGACCTTCCTTCCTACCTGGCTTGCACCCTACCTACCTTCCTGCTTACCTGGTCTGCACCCTGCCTACCTGGCCTGCACCCTACCTACCTTCCTGCCTACCTGGTCTGCACCCTGCCTACCTGGCCTGCACCCTGCCTACCTGACCTGCACCCTACCTTCCTTCCTGCCTACCTGGTCTGCACCCTGCCTACCTGGCCTACACCCTGCCTACCTGGCCTGTACCCTGCCTATCTGGCCTGCACCCTGCCTACCTTCCTGCCTACCTGGCCGGCACCCTGCCTATCATCATGTCTACCTGGCCAGCACCCTGCCTACCATCATGCCTACCTGGCCTGCACCCTGTCTACCTTCCTGCCTACCTGGCCTGCACCCTGCCTACCATCCTGCCTACCTGGCCTGCACCCTGTCTACTTTCCTGCCTACCTGGCCTGCACCTTGTCTACCTTCCTGCCTACCTGGCCTGCACCCTGTCTACTTTCCTGCATACCTGGCCTGCACCCTGGAGTATACCTGGAGATTGTTTCGGAGGTCAACGCCCCCGCTGCCTGGTCTTAGACCAGGTCTCGTGGTGGATCAGGGTCTGATCAACCGTGCTATTACTGTTGGCCACACGCAAACTGACTTACGAACCACAGCCCGGTTGGTCAGGTACTGACTCTAGGTGCCTGTCCAGCGCTTTCATAAAGACAGCCAGGGGCCTGACCTTCCTGCCTACCTGTCCAGTACCCTGCCTGACCTTCCTGCCTACCTGTCCAGTACCCTGCCTTATTGTCCAGTACCCTGCCTGACCTTCCTGCCTACCTGTCCAGTACCCTGCCTGACCTTCCTGCCTACCTGACCTGAGCTTCTTGCTTACCTGACCTTCCTACTTGCCTGACCTGACCTTCCTGCCTACCTGACCTGACCTTCCTGCCTACCTGACCTGACTTTCACTGGTAGCCATATCTAAGGAATGCTGGCTGTTTCATTCAGCTGTTGGTGAGTGCACACACACACACACACACACACACACACACACACACACACACACACACACGGTCATGGTGAGTTGAGGAGAGAGAGAGAGAGAGAGAGAGAGAGAGAGAGAGAGGAGAGAGAGAGAGAGAAGAGAGGAGAGAGAGAGAGAGAGAGAGAGAGAGAGAGAGAGAGAGCACATCTAGTCCTACAGAGAATGAGTTACGTGTCATATATCTGATAGCATTTCTGTTTTTACAGTAAATAAACAAAAATGATATTTTGACTGTACTCTCTTTGATGTGGGAAAAATATAAATATTGATTTTTACTCTGAGGATGATGATGGTGAGAGAGGAAGTACAGTGAGGATCTCTCTCTCTCTCTCTCTCTCTCTCTCTCTCTCTCTCTCTCTCTCTCTTTCTCTCTCTCTCTCTCTCTCTCTCTCTCTCTCTCTCCTTTATACATTTAGTATATTGAATGGCTTCGACACAGACATTAACAATTATCAGAATTTCTGAAGAATTCCATAAATTGGAACAATGGAGTGAAACCGCGAGGCAGAGGAGGCAACACAAACGTATGCAAAGTTTCTTTTGCGACTAGAATTATAGCAGAGTGAAATAAATTACAGACTAACATTGTAAGACCAAAGACAGTCGTTCAAGACCCAGCTGGACAGGTACTTTACAAGTACAGGATTGAACAAGATACAAGGTGCCCTTATGTGGTGGAGTTACCTGAGCCTTCAAGGCTTATGCATAAGAACATAAGAAAGGAGCACTGCGGCAGGCCTACTGGCCCAATCCAGTCAGGTCGAACTCACACCCACCCACACCCACTCATGTATTCATTTACCCTATTTTTAAAACAGCACAACGTTTTAGCTTCAATAACGTTACTCGAGTATTTGTTCCACTCATCCACAACTCTACTGCTAAATCAGTGCTTTCATACATATAAATGCACAGTGTAAATCTATCAGTCAAGATTGATGAGGCAACTCACACTGACTTATAAGTCAGAAAACATGATATTAGGTCACGCTGACTAGTGAGGTACTTACCTGGAGTCTACCTGGAGAGTATTCTGGGGAACAACGCCCCCGCGGCCAGGTGGAGGACATGAGCAAGACGTTGCCTGGTACACTCGCTACCTCACTGAAACACTAAACCCACACGGAGCCTTCATATGAAGTCAGTAGATTGCTGATGTTTGTTCAGTTACTTCACCAGAACGAGTCAATAACGGCAGTAGTGGTAAAAGTAGATAGTTGTGATAGTCACAGGAGAACTGATGGTAGCCAGACGTAGAACACTAGTAGCACCAGTAGTACCAGTAGTTTCAGATAGTAGCAGAGGTAGTTGCAGTCCTCGTCTTCCGTCCAGTTAAAGCTCTACTGTTTGCAAGCCCAGTAGTGGATGGAGGGTGGGGAGAGAGCCTTCTCCTTTACTATCCCTGCTTCGTATACCCAGATAATAAATGGCAGTCCTTAACCTAGTTAAAAGTAGACAGTTCTCAGCAGAGTCTCAGTATGAACCTTCCCAAGTCTTCTGCTGTCAGTCTTTCCCAGTTACTCTCTCTCTCTCTCTCTCTCTCTCTCTCTCTCTCTCTCTCTCTCTTGCTTCACTGCCAGTGTTTTTAATATATCATAAGTGATCAGACAAGATGCTTCACTAATTTACCATCGCTCACGCCAGTCAGATGAAGAGAACCAATGAAGGAAACTGGGTAGTAAGTTGCTTGAGAGCTAATTGATGGAGGGAGAGATGAGGGAAGGTGGGAGGGAGAGGAGGGGAAGGAGGTGGGGAGGAGGGAGGGAGGGGGAGGAGGGAGGGAGGGAAGGTGGGGGGGGGAAGGTTTGGAGGGAGGGAAGGTGGGAGGGAGGGAAGGATGGTTCAGTAGGTAACCCGGTTCCTGAAATTTTGTCTGTTGTTGGTGCTGTTGTGTGTGGTGCTGTTGTTGGTGCTGTTGTTGTTGGTGTGTTGATGCTGGTGTTGTTGTTGGTGCTGTTGTTGGTGCTGTTGTGTTGGTGCTGTTGTTGTTGGTGCTGTTGTTGGTGCTGTTGTTGTTGGTGCTGTTGTTGTTGGTGCTGTTGTTGTTGGTGCTGTTGTTGTTGGTGCTGTGTGTTGGTGCTGTTGTTGGTGCTGTTGTTGTTGGTGCTGTTGATGCTGGTGTTGTTGTTGGTGCTGTTGTTGGTGCTGTGATGTTGTGTGTTGTTGGTGCTGTTGTTGGTGCGTTGTTGTTGGTGCTGTTGTTGGTGCTGTTTGTTGGTTGCTGTTGTTGGTGCTGTTGTTATTGGTGCTGTTGTTGTTGGTGCTGTTGTGTGTGTTGTTGGTGCGTTGTTGTTGGTGCTGTTGTTGGTGCTGTTGTTGGTGCTGTTGATGTGGTGTTGTTGTTGGTGCTGTTGTTGGTGTGTTGTTGTTGGTGCTGTTGTTGGTTTGCTGTTGTTGGTGCTGTTGTTGGTGCTGTTGTTGTTGGTGCTGTTGTTGGTGTTGTTGTTGTTGGTGCTGTTGTTTGGTGCTGTTGTTGGTGCTGTTGTTGGTGTGTTGTTGTTGGTGCTGTTGTTGTTGGTGCTGTTGTTGGTGCTGTTGTTGTTGGTTGTTGTTTGGTGCTGTTGTTGGTGCTGTTGTTGGTGTGCTGTTGTTGTTGGTGCTGTTGTGTGGTGTTGTTGTTGGTGCTGTTGTTGGTGCTGTTGTTGTGGTGCTGTTGTTGGTGCTGTTGTTGGTGCTGTTGTTGGTGCTGTTGTTGGTGCTGTTGTTGTTGGTGCTGTTGATGTGGTGTTGTTGTTGGTGCTGTTGTTGGTGCTTTTGTTGTTGGTGCTGTTGTTGTTGGTGCTGTTGATGGGGGTTGTTGTTGTTGGTGCTGTTGTTGGTGCTGTTGTTGTTGGTGCTGTTGTTGGTGCTGTTGTTGTTGGTGCTGTTGTGCTGGTGTTGTTGTTGGTGCGTGTTGTTGTGCTGTTGTTGTTGGTGCTGTTGTGCTGGTGTTGTTGTTGGTGCTGTTGTTGGTGCTGTTGTTGTTGGTGCTGTTGTTGGTGCTGTTGTTGGTGTGTTGTTGATGGTGCTGTTGTTGTTGGTGCTGTTGTTGTTGGTGTTGTTGTTGGTGCTGTTGTTGTTGGTGCTGTTGATGCTGGTGTTGTTGTGGTGTGTGCTGTTGTTGGTGCTGTTGTTGTTGGTGCTGTTGTTGGTGCTTTTTTGTTGGTGTGTTGTTGTGGTGCTGTTGTTGTTGGTGCTGTTGTTGGTGCTGTTGTTGTTGGTGCTGTTGGTTGGTGCTGTTGTTGGTGCTGTTGTTGGTGCTGTTGTTGTTGGTGCTGTTGTTGTTGGTGCTGTTGTTGGTGCTGTTGTTGTTGGTGCTGTTGTTGGTGCTGTTGTTGGTGCTGTTGTTGGTGTGTTGTTTTGGTGCTGTTGTTGTTGGTGCTGTTGTTGGTGCTGTTGTTGGTGGCTGTTGTTGTGGTGCTGTTGTTGGTGCTGTTGTTGGTGCTGTTGTTGGTGCTGTTGTTGGTGCTGTTGTTGGTGTTGTTGTTGGTGTGTTTTTTTTGGTGCTGTTGTTGGTGCTGTTGTTGTTGGTTGGTGCTGTTGTTGTTGGTGCTGTTGTTGGTGCTGTTGTTGTTGGTGCTGTTGTTGTTGGTGCTGTTGTTGGTGCTGTTGTTGGTTTGTGTTGTTGTTGGTGTGTTGTTGGTGCTGTTGTTGGTGCTGTTGTTGGTGCTGTTGTTGTTGGTGCTGTTGTTGGTGCTGTTGTTATTGGTGCTGTTGTTGGTGGTGCTGTTGTTGGTGCTGTTGTTGGTGTGTTGTTGTTGGTGCTGTTGTTGGTGCTGTTGTTGGTGCTGTTGTTGGTGCTGTTTTTGTTGGTGCTGTTGTTGGTGCTGTTGTTGGTGCTGTTGATGCTGGTGTTGTTGGGTGCTGTTGTTGGTGCTGTTGTTTAGTGCTGTTGTTGGTGCTATTGTTGGTGCTGTTGTTGTTGGTGCTGTTGTTGTTGGTGCTGTTGTTGGTGCTGTTGTTGTTGGTGCTGTTGTTGGTGTGTTGTTGGTGCTGTTGTTGTTGGTGCTGTTTGTTATTGGTGCTGTTGTTGTTGGTGCTGTTGTTGGTGCTGTTGTTGGTGCTGTTTTTGGGGGTTGGTGCTGTTGTTGGTGCTGTTGTTGGTGCTGTTGTGTGTGTGTTTTGGGTTGTTGGTGCTGTTGTTGGTGCTGTTGTTGGTGCTTGTTGTTGTTGGTGCTGTTTTTTGGGGGTGCTGTTGTTGGTGCTGTTGTTGTTGGTTCTGTTGTTGGTGCTGTTGTTGGTGCTGTTGTTGGTGCTGTTGTTGGTGCTGTTGTTGGTGCTGTTGTTATTGGTGCTGTTGTTGGTGGTGCTGTTGTTGGTGCTGTTGTTGGTGCTGTTGTTGTTGGTGCTGTTGTTGGTGCTGTTGTTGGTGCTGTTGTTGGTGCTGTTGTTGTTGGTGCTGTTGTTGGTGCTGTTGTTGGTGCTGTTGATGCTGGTGTTGTTGTTGGTGCTGTTGTTGGGTTTGCTGGTGCTGTTGTTGGTGCTGTTGTTGATGCTGTTTGATGCTGGTGTGGTTGTTGGTGCTGGTGCTGTTGTTGGTGCTATTGTTGGTGCTGGTGCTGTTGTTGGTGTTGGTGCTGTTGTTGGTACTGTTGTTGGTGCTATTGTTGGTGCTGTCCTTGGTGTTGGTGCTGTTGCTGGAACTGTTGTTGGTGCTGGTGCTGTTGTTGGTGTTAGTGCTGTTGTTGGTGTTGGTGCTGGTGCTGTTGTTGGTGTTGGTGCTGCTGCTGGTACTGTTGTTGGTGCTGGTGCTGTTGTTGGTGTTGGTGCTGGTGCTGTTGTTGGTGCTGGTGCTGTTGTTGGTGTTGGTGCTGTTAAGATAAGATTTCGTTCGGATTTTTAACCCCGGAGGGTTAGCCACCCAGGATAACCCAAGAAAGTCAGTTCGTCATCGAGGACTGTCTAACTTATTTCCATTGGGGTCCTTAATCTTGTCCCCCAGGATGCGACCCACACCAGTCGACTAACACCCAGGTACCTATTTGCTGCTAGGTGAACAGGACAATAGGTGTAAGGAAACGTGTCGGAATCTCCACCCGCCGGGAATCGAACCCGGGCCCTCCGTGTGTGAAGCGGGAGCTTTTAGCCACCAGACCACCGGGCCATGTTGCTGGTGTTGGTGCTGTTGTTGGTGCTGGTGCTGTTGCTGCAGGTGCTGCTGTTGGTGCTGTTGTTGGTGTTGGTGCTGTTGTTGACGCTGGTGCTGTTGTTGGTGCTGGTGCTGTTGCTGCAGGTGCTGCTGTTGGTGCTGTTGTTGCTGTTGGTGCTGTTGTTGGTGTTGGTGCTATTGTTGGCGCTGGTGCTGTTGTTGGTGCTGGTGCTGGTGCTGTTGCTGGTGTTGGTGCTGTTGCTGGTGTTGGTGCTGGTGTTGGTGCTAGTGCTGCTGCTGCATGTGCTGCTGTTGGTGCTGTTGTTGGTGTTGGTGCTGGTGTTGGTGCTATTGCTGGTGCTGTTGTTGGTGTTGGTGCTGTTGTTGGTGTTGGTGCTGTTGTTGGTGTTGATGCTATTGTTGGCGCTGTTGTTGGTGTTGGTGCTGTTGTTGGTGTTGGTGCTGGTGTTGGTGCTATTGCTGGTGCTGTTGTTGGTGCTGTTGTTGGTGTTGGTGCTGGTGTTGGTGCTATTGCTGGTGCTGTTGTTGGTGTTGGTGCTGTTGTTGGTGTTGGTGCTGTTGTTGGTGCTGGTGCTGTTGTTGGTGCTGTTGTTGGTGCTGGTGCTGTTTTTGGTGCTGTTGTTGGTGTTGGTGCTGTTGCTGGTGCTGTTGTTGGTGCTGGTGCTAGTGCTGCTGCTGCAGGTGCTGCTGTTGGTGCTGTTGTTGGTGTTGGTGCTGGTGTTGGTGATGGTATTGGTGCTGTTGCTGGTGCTGTTGTTGGTGCTGGCGCAGTTGTTGGGGCTGGTGCTGTTGTTGGTGCTGGTGCTGTTGTTGGTGCTGGCGCAGTTGTTGGGGCTGGTGCTGTTGTTGGTGCTGGTGCTGTTGTTGGTGCTGGTGTTAGTGCTGCTGCCGGGGTTAGTGCTGCTGCAAGTGCTGCTGCTGCTGTTGTTGTAGTTGTTACTGCTGTTGTAATTGTTGCTGGTGTTGTTGTTGCTGTTGCGTTGTACATGTGTCTCGTTCTTCTAACACCCACAACACCTACAATCACAACACCTACAATCACAACACCTACAATCACAACACCTACAATCACAACACCTACAATCCAACACCTACAATCACAACACCTACAATCACAACACCTACAATCACAACACCTACAATCACAACACCTACAATCACAACACCTACAATCACAACACCTACAATCACAACACCTACAATCACAACAGCAACAATCACAACACCTACAATCACAACACCTACAATCACAACACCTACAATCACAACACCTACAATCACAACACCTACAATCACAACACCTATAATCACAACAGCAACAACAACAGCAAAAATATCTACCACAACAATAACAACAGCTACTACAACAACAACCACAACAACAACAACAACAACAACAGCAAAACAACAGATCAACGTCCAGAACCAATAGTTATAATCAACGCAGAATAAATCCGTTCTTGGATTTTTTCCCTTACCAGATTAACCTAATTTGTGTAGTTAAAGAGGGATTACTCTCCCTTACTTCCGCGGTGATTAATCGCCAAGGATTTTAGCGTCGCTAGTCAGGCGATTAGTGGAGTGGAAGACCAGGTGTTGGAGGGAAGGGATGGAGTGAGGGAGGGGAAGTGATGGAGGGACGTAATGGAGTGATAGAGGGAAGTAATGGAGTGAGAGAGGGGAATGATGGAGGGGAGTGAGGTAGGGAGTGCCTGGTGGAGGGATGCTTGAGTTTACATGTACATATATATGGGTGTACATGGGTGTACAGTGGCGTACATAGAAGTAAATGGGAGTACTTGGGTGTACAAAGGCGTACATGAGTGCACATGGGAGTACATAAGTACGCATGGGAGTACATGGACATCTCCATTTCCCTGCATCAAGAGCCCTTCGCCAGAAACAGGGCGATCTCTCTCTCTCTCTCTCTCTCTCTCTCTCTCTCTCTCTCTCTCTCTCTCTCTCTCTCTCTCTCTCTCTGTTATTATCTCTTTCTTTAAATGAAAAACTGAAGTGACCGTTAAAACCGTTAACGCATTCACCTCTTTTTACGAAATTCAAATTTTCAAAAGGACTCCCACGGGCAACGACTCTTAGTCTGTTTTCTTAGGCAAAACTTTTCTGGTTTAATTATAAATTTGAATTTGTAGATAATCGAAGTTAATATATATTTGTATAAGTGCAACATTGTTAATATAATAATAATAATAATAATAATAATAATAATAATAATAATAATAATAATAATAATAATAATAATAATAATAATAATGTTAATATTATTACCACTATTTCTGCTATTACTACTATTTCTGCTACTATTACTACTACTGCTACCACTATTACTACTACTGCTACCACTATTACTACTACTGCTACCACTATTACTACTACTGCTACCACTATTACTACTACTGCTACCACTATTACTACTACTGCTACCACTATTACTACTACTGCTACCACTATTACTACTACTGCTACCACTATTACTACTACTGCTACCACTATTACTACTACTGCTACCACTATTACTACTACTGCTACCACTATTACTACTACTGCTACCACTATTACTACTACTGCTACCACTATTACTACTACTACTATTACTCTCCTATCTTCCAGCCTTATAAGTATTCTTTATTAAGTAAGTAACTTACACATTCTCTGACTATAAAATAACCACCAACTTGAACATATTAAAATTCCTATGTTGCTCAGAGCACACCAGAACTTACCAACTTGATTACCATAATACCACTAAGTTCTTCCACACCTTCCTAAGTCCCACTTGAACTTACCGGATAAAAAGAAACTTACATACGTAACCCACTATATGCAGATTCAGAGTTTACCTTAATCAGTATTTTTAATCTCTATTTTAAATCCCTATTTTTAATCCCTGTCTAAATCTACATTTTAAATCCATATTTTAATCCCCATTTTAATCCCCATTTTATACCTATTTAAGTCAGTATTTTTATTCGACATTTTAATCCCTAATTTAAGCCTTATTTTAAATCCCTATTTTTAGTCCTTATTTTAGGGATTAAAGTTTTTATGTCTGGATCAGTTTACTGGATCAAAGTTGACAAGTTGCAGCTATGACGTCTGTAAAAGTTAGTCTCAGTGGTGGATGTGCGATCCCCCCAACCAATCACCAGTTGTTTCTCTTTGACGCCCTGAATAACGCCGCCGCTGATTGGGTGTGTGTTTATCGACCATTCAAGGGCGTTTAATTCCGTCACGTCACGGGCACCCTTCCTTCAGAGTGCTGGCACTGTACTTCCCATCTCAGGACTCAAGTCCGGCTGCCGATTTCCCTGAACCCCTTCATAAATGTTACTTTGCTCACACTCCAACAGCACGTCAAGTCCAAAAAATCCATTTGTCTCCATTCGCTCCTATCTAATACGCTCACATATACTTGTTGGAAGTCCAAGCCCCTCGCACACAAAACCTTCTTTACCTCCTCCCTCCAACCTTTCCTAGGCCGACCTCTACCTCGCCTTCCCTCCACTACAGAATTATACACTCTCAATATCATTCTATTTTGTTCCACCCTCTCTACATGTCCAAACCACCTCAACGATCCCGCCTCAGTCCTCTGGATAATGGTTTTGGCAATCCCATACCTCCTCCTAGTTTCCAAACTAGGAATTCTCTGCATTATATTCACACCACACATTACCCTCAGGCATGACATCTCCACTGCCTCCAGCCTTCTCCTTGTTGCAACATTCACCACCTATGTTTCACACCCATATAAGAGCGTTGGTACAACTATACTCTCATACATTCCCCTCTTTGCTTCCAAGGACAAAGTTCTTTGTCTCCACAGACTCCTAAGTGCACCGCTCACCCT